TAGTATCCAAAATATATGAACTAATATAACTCAACACCCAAACCCAAATAATCCAATTCAAAATTGAGAAGACATGAACAGACATTTCTCCAACAAAGACATCCAGATGGCCAACAAATTCATGAAAAGACGATCATCACCTATCATCAGGGAAATGCAAAACAAAATTACAATGAGGTATCACCTCACATTGATCAAAATGGCTAAAACGAACAAAAGAAACAACCAGTGTTGGCAAGAATGTGGAGAAAAAGGAACCCTCTTGCCCTGTTGGTGGGAATGCACTGGTGCAGCCACTGTGTAAAATAGTATGGAGGTTCCTCCAAAAGGTAAAAACAGAGCTACCTTATGATCCAGCAATCACACTACTAAATATCTACCCAAAGAATACACACACAGTAATTCAGAGGGATACAGGCACCCCTGTGTTTATATTTATAGCAGCATTATTTATAATAGCCAAGATATAGGAAGCAGCCTGAATGTCCAAGGACTGATGAATGGATAAAGAAGTGGTACGTACGTACGTACGTACGTACACACACACACACACACACACACACACACACACACACACACACCCCCCCCCCCCCCCCAGAATATTATTCAGCCGTAAAAAAGAATGAAATTTTGCCATCTGCAAAGACATGGATGTCACTGGAGTTTAACGCTAAGCAAAGTAGGTCAGCCAGGGAAAGACAAATACCAGATGATTTAAGAAACAAATGAGCAAAGGGAAAAAGACAAACCAAGAAACAGACTCTTAACTACAGAGCGCACGCTGATGGTCACCAGAGGGGAGGCAGGTGGGAGGGATGGGGAAACAGGTGATGCGGATGAAGGAGGGCCCTTGTGATGAGCACCGGGTCAGGTACAGAAGTGCTGAATCACTACATTGTACACCTGAAACTGATATTACACTGTAAACTGGAATTAAAAACCTAATAAAAAAAAATTACCATTTGGTAACCATGACAGTAATATTTGATTCAGTCATGAATTAATTTTGGATCAACTGATGCACGTGAAAACTAGAGGGTGAAAATCTGATGAATAACAGGACTTTTACATAGTCTCAAAGTATCTCCCTACAAGAAACTTCGTTCCACAGAGTAACTTCACAGGAGAGAAAGTTGGCAGACACCACCCTAACCAAATGGTCAAAGTTCCTATCACCTGTGATGGGACAAATATCATGTGCCTCCTGATGGGACTCTCAACATGAGAACACTGACACACTGCACAGGCAGAACCTATTAATGAAGAGAGGGTACAAGGGTCAAATTACAATCTGCATGCTTTGTGAATGTCATGGCCATGAAAGACAAAGATTGAAACACTGGTCTAGAAGAAAAGAGACAGGACAACGATGCACACCACGTGATTCAGGATCTTCTCTGAGGTAAAGAGCAGCACCAAGACAAATGCCAAAATCTGCAGAGGGTCCTCAGACTGTAAACCAGCACTGTTTCAATGTCCGCTTCCTGATTTGCACATCTGTACTGTGGTTCTGGAGGAGAACGGCCATGTTTTTAGGAAGCATATACTGAAATACTTAGAGGTAAAGGGGCATCACATCTGTTGCTTACTCTCAAGTGGTTTTAGGGAAAAAAAGGCTGTACATAAAGATAGAATGAGACAGGGAATGTGATACAATGTCGGTGATACAAGAATCTGGGTGACAGCTCCATGGCAATTCCTTGACTCTTCTTAGAAGTGTCTGAAATTATCTTAAAATAAAAAGTAAAAAAAGTTTTTCCTATCTTAGATTGACCACTGTCAATACTAACCCTGTCTACACAGAAGCAGAGACCTTGCACTGATCCAAATCTTGTTCTGTGGGAGCCAATCACCCTGTACTGAGCAAGTAGCTGAACACGAACCACTCACCTCTCATTATAACCGGGTTGCCCTACACCTGGGACTGCATATTCTGGAACTATCAGAGAGGAACGTTTAAAAATCCTTTTTTTTTTTAAAATAGGCATTAAGTGAGAGAAAATATTTAAGTATAAAATGAAAAAAAAGTATAAAAGTTAGCTTGTAGAGTGTATGTACAGAAACACAATTCTTAACAAAAATGATTTGAAAGAATGACAGGGACTTTTAAAGAGTTCTGTAGCCACACGCTGGGGAATCTGCAAAGGTCTTTAGAAGTTATCTTCGGAGAATTTCAAAGGTTGGGCTATGTTGCACAAGGTTTTTTGGTTACTTCTGAACTTTTTAATAACTTACATTTGGGCTTAAAAGCCTCCCAAGAGATGCCTAACACACTTAAAATAAATCCAAACCCTCACTAGGCTCTACAAATTCAACACCATCTCCCACTTGTCTGCCCTTTGACCTTGTCAGGAGGAGCCTGACAAGCGCAGCCCATTACTGCTCCAAAAATTACGTGTGTGGTCCCCCCTGCTTAGAACACTGTGCCTCCAGACCTTCCCACTTTCTACTGTCACCTCAGAAAGACATTCTTAACCACCGTATCTCTAAGATGCTCCTTATCTCACCTCCGGGGAACATTCTCTAACCTTTCCCCTGGCTTTTTCTTTATGGCACTTACCACCTAACATACTGTGTATCTATTTGCTCTTTCCTCTACGATCGTGTAACCTCCGCAAGGGCAGCCTTGCTGTTTCCCCAGGGCTGAAAGCAGTGCAGTCTATAGCAGGCACCAAAACATGTTCGTAAGATGAATGAACGAAAGTACTGCATCTATTTTTCTTTCACATATTACAAAGAGCATGAAAATGACCAACACTGACTGTGCCTCAGTGAAGATTGTCCTCGGAAGCGGCACATAAGCTGGGACGTGAGCGGTAAGCAGAAGCTGGCCAGGCAGGGGAGGTGGGAGCCGAGGAGAGCTGGGGCCAGGAGGAAGCAGGCCTGTGAGGAAATATTGATCCAAGGCCCGCGGTGAGGGCGAGGCGGCCAGCTTCAGCCTGGAGGTGTGGGCGCACACACCAGGAGCCTGCAGGCCACGGAGTCTGGATGTTTATTTTAAGGGCTCAAAAACCAGTGAACAGTTTTACAAAAGAGTGACCACCAGGTTTGCTTCTTTTACAGACCACTTTTCAGAAGCGAAGGGGGGATCCTGAAGAGAGAGGACATGGGCTGAACTAGGATGGCAGCCAAAGAGACTGAGAACTGACCTTTTAGATGAATGAGGACACAATGGACAGATGAATGGATAAAGAAGATGTGGATGTGGGGGTGTGTGTGTGTGTGTAATGGAATACCACTCAGTCATCAAAAAAATGAATTCTTGCCATTCTCAATGCTATGGACAGAGCTAGAGAATATTATGCAAGAAAGTCAATCAGAGAAAGACATGATTTCACTCCTATGTGGAATTTAAGAAACAAGAGAGAGAAGCATAGGTAGGGGAAGAGAAGGAAAAATAAAGTAAGATAAAAACAGAGGGAGGCAAACCATAATAGACAATCATAGGAAACAAGCTGAGGGTCACTGGAGGGGAGAGGGGTGAGGGGTTGGGGTAACTGGGTGATGGACATTAAGGAGGGCACTGATGTAACGAACGCTGGGTATTATATAAGACTGATGAATCTGACCTCTACCTCAAACTAATACACTATGTGTTAATTGAAGTAAAATAAAGAAAAAAGATTAATGAGGGCACAGAGCCAGAGTGTGCTGAATGCATATTCAGATTATTTTCCAGAAATCCTACAGTAAGATAATTTTCTGAAAACACCAGGCCACGAAGATATGAAGAACTCTGGCAGCTTAGTGTTATATTAACGTGAAAAGGCAGCAAAGTGGACAGTGCAAGTCTTGGGCTCCAATCACAACTATGATTTAATAGCACAGATCACAACTGTGATTTTATAGCAAGTCACTTCAATTTCCTGAGCCTGTTTTCTCATCTATAAAGTAGGGATAACACATTCATCTTCTGTGATCTTGCCAAATAAAGCAAGCAAACTACCAATGCCTGGCATTTGAGAATTAGAAAAGGAGTCCTTCGTTAGCATGGCCTCACTGTGCGATCCTGCTCACCGCCACCTCGGGGCATGATCCTGCGGGATCACCGTCTCATCGTGCGATCCTGCTCACCGCCACCTCGGGGCATGATCCT